AACCCCAGAACACACCAGCTGTTATTGTAGCTAACTTGAACCCCTGAACACACCAGCTGTTACTGTAGTTACACTGAACCCTGAACAACACCAGCAGTTACTGTAGTTACACTGAACCCTGAACAACACCAGCTGTTACTGTAGTTACATTGATTCCCAACTCAAAACCATTTGTTTACATAGCTATATTATACGTTGAACTCAACATCATCTGTTACCATAGTTACATCGGACCCTTGCACAACACCATCTGTTACCATAGTTACATTAAACACCAGCTCACCACCATCTGTTATTGTAGCCAAATCCCAGAACAACATGTCTGTTGCCACAGATATGTCTAACTCCAGCACACCACCATCTGTAACCATAGTTATATTGAACGTCAGCACAACACCATAGTTACACCGAAGCCCAGCACAACACAAATAAACATGTAAGACGCCTGGTGTGTGTCACAAGAAAACAGATAATATGAGAGAAAAAACACTGAATTATTTTACTGTGCCCTCACCTCTCCAGAAGGCCTTCCTTTCCGTTCGGTTCACAAGATGAGCCAGGAGTCCCCCTGTCGCTCGTGAGATTCATGCTTTCTTGATTACCAACGCGGACAACGAGGGGCACAGAAGGGGGTCCCCGTTCAACAGAAGTAGAACCCCGCAGTGCTCAAGCGGAGGACTGGGGCTGTCTGTGCTCCCGGACTGGGACGGAGAGAAACCAGCGGCCCAGGAAAAAGCCTGAAAGCCCAAACACGTAGCACGTTAAATATCCGCAGAGGAGGAAAAGAATCCGTCCCCCAGACGGTTTATCGGGATCATTGTGGAGCACTGATGAAGCCTCGTTAACCACTGCATTGTTGTAAGGGCAGATGAGTGCTACAGTAATCACCATGGCACGCAATTACTTAAGTCTTTATTACTTACTGTAAACTTAACCAAAACCCTACATGAGTATCGCACTGCAGGAGTATGGACATAGTAATGATCATCGAACTGCAGTCTCCCGCTGCTGCTGTGTGATGTCTGTGTGTCACCAGCGCTAGCTTCCAGACACATCTTTGCCTCACAACAACTTGTCATGTCTTACAGGAGATCCCAAGTCCTCAGTAATGTGGCAGTGTTCTCCAAACTCAGCTCACTCTTACTGTAAGTCTCTCCCCACAGTCTCTGCTCTCCTTAAGACGCTGTGATACACTTTATACAAGCACAGCCCAACTGAGAATTCGCCTTTTCAGGCTGCTGAACGGCCATTTAGTCTTGGGGGCACTTTTGGCGACCTCTGCTGGCAGGACTGTGGTTACTGCAGTCCTCTATGAACGGCAGTATAGAATTGTGCAATCGTATACAGTAATAATAACTGATTACACTTATATAGCGCTTTTCTGGACACTCCACTCAAAGCGCTTTACAGGTAATGGGAACTCCCCTCCACCACCACCAGTGCGCAGCCCCACCTGGATGATGCGATGGCAGCCATAGTGCGCAAGTACACTCACCACACATCAGTTTTCAGTGGGGAGGAGAGCAGAGTGATGAAACCAAGTCATAATGGGGATTATTAGGAGGCCATGATTGGTAAGGGCCAATGGGAAATTTGGCCAGGACGCCGGGGTTACACCCCTACTCTTTTCAAGAAACACCCTGGGATTTTTAATGACCACAGAGAGTCAGGACCTCGGTTTTACGTCTCATCTGACGGACAGCACCTGTGTACAGTATAGTGTCCCTCTCACTATACTGGGCATTAGGACCCACATGGACCACAGGGTGAGCACCCCCTGCTGGCCCCACTAACACCTCTTCCAGCAGCAGCCTTAGTTTTTCCCAGGAGGTCTCCCATCCAGGTACTGACCAGGCTCCCACCTGCTTTGTTTTAATGGGCTGCCAGCTGGGAGCTGCAGGGTGATATGGCTGCTAGCTTGTATGCATATCAATATGGGCTTCTGGTATAATAAGTGTCCAGAACTCCTCAGTCCTCAATAAGTATACAAAAGGAAGGGCCACATCAGTGTGTACAAAATCAAACAAAAAACGTATTATTTCCAGCATAGCATCATTTGTCAGGCTGCAACACAGGTTCCCATAAGAATAATTATCTTTAAAAGAGCTGTACTCCCCCACATGCACTGGAACCAGTTTCCCCAGAGATGTCTTCCTTCTTTTCAATACAAATATTAAGAATAACCGCAGAGACCCCAGGCACAATCTGCGTTTTAAATCAATCAGGAGATTGCACAGGCTCTTAGAGTGTGGGCTCCTCCTCCAGTCACCACCCCGGGCATGAGCTCTTCACCCCACTGCCCTCAGGCAAGAGATATAAGAGCATACGGACACTGACCACTAGATTCTTCAATAGCTTCTATCCACAAGCAGTGAGACTGGCGAACACATTTAGCCACCCCCCTCGGACCACACCTACACCATCACCATCTACCTCTTTATGA